AAGGTTCTGACAGTGAAGAACATTTACAGCTAGTTTAAGGCTCCTGTGCTAGCGCCCTGTGAGTCACTGCCAGACTCAGGGCTGCGTACTGAAACAGTCGGTTTGTATAGGGTCACATATTCATCCATCCTCATGTGTTTCATTAATGCCTTTGATCCAGCAAACCACAGAAAACCTGTTCCCGGATACATCGTGAGGATTCTCTCTTACTGGGAGAATCCTCACAGGTTAACTGGGTTAACTGGGGGAGCGGGATATCTGCCCCCTCTGGTGTCAGCGTGTTTGTCCACGCAGCTGAGAGCCTCTAACATTGGATCTTATGAATGCAGATGACCAGCCTCGTTCTGGACCGTGTTTCCGGAATGCAGTAAGCTAGGGAGCTGATTGGAGATCGCAACAGCCAATCGGCACACTTATAACTGTGTACAGAGAGCTGAGCGCACAGAGCAGAGATCTGAGCGGAGGCGCTGTTACTGTGTGGATAACAGCAAACACTGAAACTCGTTTCCTGCAGCAGAAATGAATTTTCTTCGATTAAATTAAACTTTTCTTTGCTCAAAATATTTTTTTCTCAAAATGCAACACGTTTCTCACGTGCTCAGCTGATCCCGACACGTTTCCTTTGTTAGCTAAAGAGGAAGGTCCTGCGCCAGTCCACGCATGCTCAGTCACACTCACCCACCCTGTGCAGCTTGATTTCGGGTTTCCAGGTGATATCCAGCAGTCTGCGCTGACGGTCGATCTCTTCCTCGTACTGGACGATCGTTTTTTCAAACTCCAAGAATATTTGTTCAGCAGCAGCAGTTAGTCGCTCGTTGATAAACTCTCTCAGATACTGAACTGAAGCCATTGTTGCTGACACAGCTCACACACTCGGCTCGGGCCACACACGAGGAAAGTGAACAATACTTCCGCTTTTCTTTGTTTACTTCCGCTGTTCCTGTGTGTTCCAGCTGTTTCCCATGCCTGGATCCTGTCGCTGTGATCAGCCCTCTGTGTCGTCACGATCAGCTGGGTGGAGACTGTTGTTTGTTGCATCATTCAATCAGAGCTCCCTGACCTGCTGTCCATCTACACCAAGCGTTGCAAGTCCAAAGCTAGGAAGGTTATGATGGACCTCTCCCATCCCAACAATGGACTCTTCTCACTGTTGAGGTCTGGGAAGCGCTTCCGCTCCCTTAAG